AGTGTGTGTGGTCGTAGGTAGAGAGGTATAGTAGGTAGGTGGGTCGGTTCGGTTCGTAGGAGGGGACGGATAGTCGTTGGTTGGTGGGGTCGGTCGTTTCGGCAGGAGGGGGGTCGATTGCGTTTGTAGTGGAGTCTGTTTCAGCGGTGGTGGGTTCTTGTGTGGTTGTAGGGGAGTCCTTTGTTGTAGTTGTTTTTATTTGGGATATAGGAGGACGTAAGGGAGGATAAAGTGGAGGGTATCCTGGGAACAGTGGAGGTCTAGGTGGATAAGGTCTCGGTTGGAAAGGTAGATATGGAAAACCTGGAATAAAAGGAGGGTGTAGAACAAGTCCTGGGACAGGAGGAACAGGTGGCGGTGGTCTGTGTTGCCTGTGGCCCCTTTGACTCTCACCAGACTATGGGGACAAAAAGAAGAAAACAGTTTTAAATTAGATATTTCAGTGTCAAGCATAAGAATGTATACTTTATGTGCTAGGCAGAATTCTAAGGTGGCTCCCAAAGGTCCTGCTTCCTGCTGGCGCATGTTGACCTGACTTACTTGGTGATCCCTTTTAAAACAGGTCCTACAAGTCAGAGACAGAAAAGGTCAGAGACACTTGAATGCTCTTCTGTTGGCTTTGAAGCAAAGTGACATGTTGAGGAGAGGATGATTTGGAAGTAAATGGTAGATGGGCAGTGAGAGCTGAGAGTGGTCCATGGTTCACAGCCAGCAGTGTCCTACTAAGAGGAGACTGAATTCTCCAACAACTATGCAAGCTTGAAAGAGGACCCTGAGCTCCAGGATGGAACATAATCCTGGCAACACCTTCTGGGCCTTCTGAGCCTTCTGAAACCCTAATCAAGAATCTAGCAAGGGCAGAGTCTGACCAAAGAACTGGGAAGAAAATAAATGCATTTTTAAAATGCCTAATTCGTGGTAACTTGTTAAGCAGCAATAGAAAACTATTACATGTGTCTAAAGTCTCTATCAGAGAAAAGGTGGTGTTTCTCTTTTGTCTAGGCTCTCAATGAAAGCTGAAATAATATTGAATGGAGAAAAAGAAAGATTGTGGGTAAAATCATGCCCTTCACTTACAGTAGAATGTGTCCTTGCAATCAATTCCAAATGGGAAAAATGTTTCTTTATATCCCACCCAAAAGTTCATGATTAGTCCAGGTTTTGAACACTAATAAAGTGTGAAACACATTATTGAGTGTCTGCTTTGTGCAGTACCTGTGGGGATACACTCATGCCTTTTGTGAGTCTACACACCAAGCAGCTACAATACAAGGCAGTACAAAAATGGCCCACAGGGAGTTTTCCGCCTGGGTCTGAACTCTGCTTCTGCAAGTTAGAGATTGTGTCAACGCAGAATCCTTTTGAGACTCTCTTTCCTTATCTGAAAAATGACGTTCCTAAAAGTACTCACCTCCTGGGATCATTGTCAGATTCACTGTGAAATATTTTCAGTCAAGTGTTTGTGTGGTGTTTGGCTCGGGTATGGTGCTCAAGAAATGTTACCTGCTACTCGTTTGTTATGTGAACACCTCATATAGAGTTTGCAATTTTTGGAAATAACACTTTTGGAAAAAATAGCTGAAAGATAGTGCAGGAAACATATACATTAGAGATTTAGATTGATTAGTTTTCAAGAGAATACAGATTAATGATTATCTCACTGAGAAAGCAGCCTTTGGAAGGAGGCTTAAATAATATAAAATGGGGAGAGGGTGTGCCAAGTGGAGGGAAAATATGTGAATGCTCCAGAATAAGAAGGCACAGGTCCTGCTCTACAAGGGGTTCATATCAGACACACAACTGCATCCCTTCTTGCTGTCCTCTGGCCCATCACCTCTTGGTTTTTCTGTTACTTCACCTTTGATAATTCCTAACTTTATGATGACTCTGAATCATCTGGCTCATTGATTCCTATTTGTAAGTTCTTGAACAATGCTGGCAGATCTCACAGGCATTATCTCACAAGCATATCTCACAAAGTTATGGTCCTTCAGGGCTGCCCAACAATTCATTCAAGAATCTTAGATTGGCTCTACCTCATTTTTGAGAGGCTGATGGTTTTCCAAGTTGATGCCAATTTTATAAAGTTCTCTAGCTCTCCTCAACCTTCATCTACCTGGTCAACATGACTTTCTTCCTACTTCTCTAAAATAATGCAAACAATTAGAAATGAACTCCATCAATTTACTAGGCACACAACCATATAGTCACTGATACCTAGATATCTCCTTCTCCTTCATAGGTGTTTTCTTAGGGCTCTGTCAGTTTTCACTTTTCCTTTCTGCACTTCAAGATGTGCCTTCTCATCTGGCTTGTTTTCCTCAGGAAACAGCTACCACTTATGTTCAATTTACCTTCTTAAAAAAGGTCCACTTTCAACCATGCCTTCCCTTGTTGTTATCACTCTCTCTTCACCTCTTTCTTTTATACAAAGCTCTCTGAAAAGGTAGTCTAGGTTTGCTAACTCCACTTCTTAACTTCCATTCACTCTTCAGACTGGCTTCTTCCCAACATGCCATTAAAACTCTTTTATTGCCATTACCAAGGAAGCAATAAAATGCCCAGGCACTTCCAGAAACCAGTTCTCATGTTTGTGCTCTCTAGCTAGTGATAGTTTATTGAATTTTGGAGGGCATTTGACCCACGGGCTGACAGTGCAAAGGCTAATCAGGAAGTTTGAAAAGTTCAGGACTTGATTTGCAATTGGCAAGAAAACAAATCCTTATTGTGGGAAAATATCTCACATCATTTTCATTGTTGAGACAAAGAATTAGGTAAAAATACCCTTTCTCAGAAAAATGCTATATGATATCGCTTACATGTGGAATCTAAAAATAAAAGACACAGATGATGAACTACTTATAATTATAACTTAGACGATTTATTTCTTGAATATGTGTAAGCACATTTGACTGTCCTTTATGATTGGATTGCTGCATTCTGTTGATTCTTATTTTGTGATTGGCTTTATTCCTTTGATAACTATGTAAATTTAAAAAGCTAAAGCTCTAAACTGTTGTTAGAAACAATTAACAGTACATATATGCAAGCTTTAAAATGGTTTTATCTCTCAATGAGTTGCTCTCCCTAGAATAAACTGTGTTTACCCCCCTCAAAAGTAAAATAAAATAAAATCTGCTTCTTTATTAAAAAATAAATACATTAAAGTTAAAAAAAGTACCTTTTCTCCTAAGGATAACCTACTTGTGAAATTGCTAATGTATGGGGACCCACATTTATACATGTCTGTGTAAAGCAGTCTGATATTACAGACTTAAACTTTACAAAGTACTAGCTCTGAGCCATGTGTTGCTATTTAAATTAAATTAGGTTTAAAATTTGTAGGTGAATTAAGACAGTAGACAGTGTTTCATCAATGATTGATAGCTACTAATATATAGGAGAGGGTTATATCATCGATGGAAAAATAAATCTGAAGTAATTGTTGAGAAATATATGAAGATATGAGTAATGAGACTTACCGAGAAACACATTACAAGAGCCAAAAGGCCCAAGGTCCAGCACAGTGGTTTCATCCTTACGGTTACCCCTGAAAGGAAGCACAATGGCTGATCAGCATTTCTTTTTTATAGTATTATTGGGGAAGTGTCCCATGGTTTGTTGTATGATATAGTGCAGTAATACTTAAGAAATTTACCTCATCTTATTTTGGACGCAGTATTAATATTGGTGGGTTTATAACATTTAACTATAAATGGTGAAAGTAATTTTAACTTTTGACATGTAAATGGCAAAAAACTGTTCAGAAAGCATTTATGCAGTAGAAGCCTTTATGAGAAAGATTTTGGCTTTCAGAAGTTACTACTTTGAAATGGACACTTATTTGGATTTGAACAACTTGATATTTTTAAATAGTGGTTACATTACTTTGTACACTTCTGCAGACATATATGAGATATTAATTTTAACTAGAACATATGTTCTAAATTTAATTTCTTGGCATATCTCAAAAGAAAGGAAGAAAAAGAATCATCCTGCTAGATACAATTTAAAGAAAAATTATCACATAATATAAATCCTAGTTTTAATAACATTCTACTAAGTTGTTTTAGTCCATAATGAGTGGTCTTGAATAACTGCTAAAAATTAATATATGGTACATCAAAGACCTGGGCAGAGAAAAGAGAGGTGTCCAAGTATTGCATTCTCAATTAGCTCAAAATTGACAAAATATTTGAAGTACCTGTTATCTTGGGTTATGGGAAAGCAACTCCATGCACCTTTGTGCAGAATAGTTTTCTGACAGTTGTCTCTGCCCATCGGTTGAGTATGTTGGCTGAACAGTCAGTCTGAATCTTAGAATGATCTTAGGACAAAATTTCACTGAATATTCAATTATATGTTCATATGATTTTATTTTTAGGATCACTTTTCCTATGACACATTCTTATCAGAAGCTTTGAAAAACAAGTCAAAGGAAATAATAAAAATATATTGTAGAACAATTCTCTCAGAGTACATCTGATAGTATTTTGGTTACTATGAAGCTCAAAAACCATTAAGGTTCATCAGAAAGAGTAGTTGATTGTGTAATTGGATAAATTAATTGTCCTAAGTGCTCTAAATAAATACTTTCTTCTGACATATGGAATTTCTAAAAATGTAATGCATTTTATGGCTAAACAAATTTTATATAAGACATGTATTTTTCTTTTGGTAAAAATGAATGTACTAGAAAAAGTCCATAAAAATTGGTATCTTTGAAAGTCTGAGAAAAATTTATATTTTGAAATGAAAATTCTTTGGTTCATATTAGGATGTACTTACCGTTGTATTAGGAGCCTTCTCAGGGCTGATTATTCTGCTGGTCAGAATGACTCCTGCCAGTTACTTCTTGGAAGGTAACAAATGGAGGACAAGAACAAGAAATCTCAGCTTTTATATAAATGCAATGGGTTTCTAGTAATAATAAGGAAAAGGCAATTGGAAGATAAAATAACTTCTGGGTTGATGTTCTTTAAACAAAGGGAGGAAAGTCATTGTTGCCAATTTGGCAATCTTTTTCTGCATGTATTTTTTTTTTCATTTCTGATGAGCTTTGACCCATTCAGTATTTGGTGTTTCCTGAGGAAACATACCTTATACAATGAATCACAATGTCCTTTGTCTCAATAAAAATAGTCTGGAGTTTGTCTCAATAAAAATAGTGCCTCTTTAGTTTAAAGAAAAAGTACAAGGTGTTCTATTTTAAGTAATTTTAATGGGTCATCTTTTGTTACATGTTACTATTACCATATTTCCTATTTTATCTAAAATTTAACTATGTTATGTGGGAAATTAAAAAATCAAATTATTTTAAAATTAAACTCTGACATGATCTAGAGAGAATTTGGGGGAAAAATCTAGAATTAAAATGAGAAATCATTATTAAATAGACATTGCTAAATACCACACACATCACTGTGACCAATTTTACACACCGAGCATCTCGAATACATTGCTTGACTCTTTGGAACACTAGACTCTGTCTTGTGTGTTTTGTGTTTCTATTCTTTTTTCAGTTGAGATGATGAAATTGTATTCCTCTTTTGTGCTTGGGCGTTTCTACATGTCTGATCCTATATGTTTTTTCTCTCATTTACTTACCATTGGTTTAGTTGAGTAAAAGTTTTGAGGGATTTGAAAAATGAGTACTTGGATTAGGATTTTGATCTAAGTTTTTGAAATGGCAAGAAAGAAAAATCTAGTGGTGGAAGGGGGAGAAAAGTCAGAAGATTCGTGCAGTTCTCGATCTTAACTGTATTTTAATTCTCTGTAACTGTTTCAAGGTATTTAAGTTATTTAAAAGATTCTTAAATGGACATTTTAAAGGAAGCATCCTTTTATCAATGAAGAACTGAAACAGTGGTCTGAGGGAGCGTTCTAAAGGTCTGCTGGTGCTCGCCATTATTAGGTTGAGAAATCTCATGGCAGGATGGAACGAGTTCTGTTATCATCTCTGCTTTATATACACCCGGGCACTAATGAACCTAAGTCTCCTGACTTCAAGTCCTGAATTCTGACTTAAGCAGGATTCCACGTTGTTTCCCAAGTCTACATAACCTTCATAAATTTACTAACATTCAATGTTTTAGTCTGCTGTAGAGATTAATCAAGTGAATTTATAGTCAGGTCACTTTACTTCAAAGGCCAGTACCAGTATTTATTTGCTGGGTGATATCAGGCAAGCTGTTTTACTGCATTTGCCTCAATTTCTTCATTTGAAAAATGTGGACATGTATAATTTTGGTACCGGGGAGTTTTGTAATTCTTTTGTTAACTCATTCATTTATTCACCATTTGCTGAATACCTTCTGGGTGTGAGACATAGTGCTAGTTGTTAAAGTTACAAAATAGTCACATGTTTGTTGTTAAAAATCTTTCAGAACTCATAGGTGGTATAGGAAAAAGAAGCCACATTTTGAGAGTTGATCTTAGTTTTAAATTCTTGCACTTCATTTCATTTGCTTTGACTCAATTGCCTTAAAAATTCTAATGATATCATCAAGTGTAATAAACTGTATATATATAACATATATATAAAACATATATATAACATATATATAAAACATATATATATATAACATATATATATATATATATATATATATATATATATATATTTGCTAATCTTAGGCTCTTGTCAATGACTGAACAATGACATGCCCCATCAGTGAAGATGGTTCTATTTTCTAAGTTAACATGGAGAGTTCGAGAAACCACTTTCTTCTTTGACAATAATTTAGCTTGTCAGAAGATGAGTGTCTTGTTTCCTGTTTTGATGCCAGTGTATCAGCCAAGTGTTTCAAATACAGGTGTGATCTATGTCGTAATGGATCACTGGCACTGAAGGACATAGAATGAACACAGGAAAAGCAGAAGTACAACTTCTGAGGGGGTTGTGACCAACAAAGAATTAGAGCAACACAAGCCAAAGGAAGCACAGGTCTGTTAAGAAACAAACAGTCACTCAAGTTAAACTTTAATTAATTCCTGGCTTTAAAAGATCCTGAATGAATGAATAGTCTCTAGAACTGTACCTGAGTGAGCTAATGTCTCTGGTCACAGATAATTCAAGGTGATAGTAGAGTCACTATATTGTTGGTGCAGAGACTTATGTGGCAGATGGAAAATATTTTTTTTTCATATAATTAGAATTTGCAGGATTAAACTCAGTCATGCAGCAGCATATTTGAAGTCTGCTGCCCTACTGTGCAATTTCTTTGGATCTATGCAGAGAGTATGAATGTGTTTCTTCTAGGTTATTTATAAGTAGATGATTTGGCTTCTGGGTTAATAACACTTTAAATATGTATCATGCTTTTGAATTTACAGATTGCTTTTATTTATTTTATTTTTAATGATTTATTTATTTATTGTTTGTGGGGTTTTTTGTTTTTGTTTTGGGGGGTAGGTAATTAGGTTTATTTATTTATTTATCTTAATGGAAGTACTGGGCATTGAACCCAGGGCCTTGTGTATGCCAAGTATGCACTCTACAACTGAGCTATACCCTCCCCTGCCACGTTGCTTTTAAAATTTTGTGTGGAAATATTTGTTGTGAGAGCTTAGTCAGTGAAGCTATTGGGCTTCAAGAGGAAACATAATTTATTGGACTGAAGGAGTCTAGTACTGTGATATGGGATTAATAACCGGGCTTGCAGATTGAAGAAAAGCTATAATTCTGATTCGTTCCACATGGAAACTAGGAGATCTAGTAGGAGATCTAGACCTGAAAGTTCTGTAAACTTTCTAGAAGTCGGCTATAAATTTTTTTGAACTTCCAAGTAGCCAAAGTTAAAAGAAAAATACAACCAGATAAAAAGACTTCATAATGTCCATAAAACAAAATCACAGTTAATGCTTAAGAAAAGTGCCTTTCCTACTATTTAGTACCATGAGAAAATTTCTCATTTATTGTCAAGGAGGAAATTTATTATTCTATTGTAAACTTGAAAGGACTCTTCATTGTATAACCTGAATATCTTCAGTATGTGACCATAAATATACAATTGCCCTTCAACCAGAATTTTGCTAGATTGATAACTCCAATTGTGTAACCAAACAAATCAGTTTCCTTTCAAGATCTCTCTGAGGCAATAGTCCTGGCTTCCACTTAATATCCAAAATATGTTTTCTTTCTCACAGTTTCACTTTATTAAAAAAATGTGGTTGTATGTAAGTTTTCTCTGTAAACTAGATCCAGTACTTAAATATTTAAATTATAAACATAGCATTGGTTAATTTATATATCATATTTTTCTAATTTCTCCATTTAACATGCAAAATAACTCTATGATATTGTCAGGAAAAAAATTAACATCCTAGTTTTTTAAACAGAGAAAGACCTGAGGAGTGGAGTTACTGTTCAGACCATATTACTCTTTTTTGATAAGGTTTTTTCCTTAAAAAAATTATTCATAGTCGTTGATAAGAATTGCTATGTAAAAATAATGAAGTACTCTAAAAAATAGTCTATTTAAAACAATTTAGATTATATGTATCATCTCCTGAAAGTTAGTCTTAAATGATTGTGCCCCAGTATTTTGGGGGAAAATGACACATTGTTCTCTAAAATGGAAATCGAAAGAACCTCAGTTCTTGAATTGGCTTTGCTACCTGTGAATAGTATGGCCTTGGGAGAAAGTTCATTAATCTATCATGGTTTTATTTTCTTCTTTGTAAAATGAGAAAGATAAATTGTAAAGCTCCCTGCCCCACTGCAGGCAGATCTAGGTTTGAGGGGTCTAAAGCTTATATAATTTGGGGAGTGGACTATGAGGAAAAGTATACAAAGTTATAATTACAAAATACCTGCAGCCAATCCAAGTTCATGTTATAAGGGACTATGAATACATGATGGTCCCAGCCATCCAAAGTCTGCTGGTTATAATGGGAGATGTGCCCAAGGTTAAGCTGAAATAGTAAAAGAAGGCAGTGTTAACTGATAGTAGTTTAAATATCTTACTTTTCCAATTAAAGAAAAAAAAAAGCGCCTTTTCAAACACACTGTATTAGACCCTCAGAAGGATGAAGTTCTCAGCAAGGAGATTCTTCAGCTTCAGTTTCATTTGCATTGTCATTAATCTCCTGGAGCTTTCAAATTCTCACGTTTGTTCTAAATTTTGATGTGCCAGATAGTCACCTGGAGGCTGGTGATACCGAAAAATTCAGGGATCAAGTGGCTGAGGTTCTGATTTTATTAGGTTTTGGTTGGGACCCAAGAAACTGCATTGTTAGTAAATAACCATGGATAATTCTAACACTGGTGTTTTATAATGTATACTTTGAGCAGAACAGCACCTACAGAATCCAAACCAAGGGCTGGAAATAGACAAGAAAACCACCTCTTTCACTTCAACTGGAAGCTGTTACTGAGAGCAACTGATGTTTTGGGAAAACGGCCAGGAAAGGCTATTAAAGGCTAGATGTGAATTTCAGCAGTCTTCCTTCCATGTATAAAGAAACTTTGATCTCCCGCAAATAGAAAGGCAGAAATATTTGAGGACCAGACCCTGGACTCAATCACCAGAATAAAAGCATTCCAGACAAGGCTGGATTCTTAACCCAGGCAGATCTGCAAGACCTAGTTTAGTGCTTTGACCTGTGAAGAATGGGACTCTGCAATATGGATTTATCTTTAGATGTCTTGGTGTATCAGTTAGCTATTTCTGTGTTACAAACCACTGCAAAACTTGGTGGCGTAACACAACAGTTTAATATTTCTTATGTCTATATGCTTGCTTGGAAGTTATCCTGGTCTGGCTAGGCTTGATTGATCTTGGCTGAGCTTGCTTATGTGAGTGTTCAGCTGGTGGGTTGGCTGGAGGCTGGCTTGTCCAAAATGGCCTTGGCTGGAACAGCTTCATACCCCTCCACATAGTCAGGGCCGCATTCATGTGATGTGAGGGGTTCATAAGAAAACCAGAAATGTATAAATATTTTTTTTTCCAATCTCTACTTTTCTCACGTTTGACTGATATAGTGTTGTCCCACTGGCAAAAATATGTTAGTGGTCAAGCCCAG